GATGTTGATATTGTGGTTCTGAATTAGGGAGGTGTCTCCTACACTCAATCGGTGATTAATATTATGTCAATGATCAAACATGCCTTATAGATCACTTTTCAGGATCATCTAAAGAAAATGTTTAATTTTTACAACAAAAAATCGGTAAAGGTCACCCTGCTCGTACGAAATATCAAACTCACCACTCAGGTAAATTTTTGTGTTCTTGATGTGTTGTGTGTGTGTGTTGTTTGTTGTATGGTGGTGGTTTATAGGTCAAATAAAGTTGTCAAAAGTGGTTTTTTGAGTACACAGAATTTATTGGAAGGTTTACCTAAACTAATTTAGACCACAGATATTTACTATGTTTTATTTATATGTATTTCTGGTTTAAATACTGTAGCTATTTCTGAAGTATTGTGAGGAATAAAGAATATTGAATCATTACGGATTACCGTATCATTGGTGATTCTAGATCAAAGATCTTCACAAAGATTATTTATAATTTTTTTTTATTTGATTGTTTATGGACTTTTTATATCAGCCTTCGTAAACAATATATAAATGTTTAGCTCGTAGTACACATCTAGACTGCAAGTTGATACGGAATTGCTTGCAGCTCCCGACACTTATTTCCACATAACGGAAGCCGTGTCGTCAGTCGTCACTAACTGAGTTTCCTAGTTTCCCGCCATTTCCGAGCTTCATTCCCGCCAAAATACACAATTTCCTTTCTGGTTTTATCGTTACCGATCCAAGCGGTTGCAATATGATTTATTTAACCGGGACAAGTTTAAGCTTGGCAGGAGCGATTGTTTTGTGTGGTGTAACACTTAAATATGTTGTGATCAGAGCTTTTTGTATCATCTTGTAATTACTAAGTTTCTAATACAGTTTTATATCCGTACACATTTTGCTTTTTCCTTTTTTCGTGTCTGCGTGTGGCCTAAGAGCAAAAAAACCCATTTTTAGCTATTCAGGACAGTTTAAAATTGTGTTCTACAGTCGATGTCTTCTCTGGCGATAAAACTACATTTCATTTCAAATTATCTATGTTAGGGTTATTTAGAAACATAGGTATTTTAAGTATTTTTAACAAATTGTAATCAAAGAATTTACTGTAGTCTTCGGCTTTTATGGTGAAGGATTTTTCAGGGTTGCTACCAGCCATGAAAACCTTGAAAATCTTTAATTATCATTCATATGTGAACATGAAAAAAGGTATGGATTATGCATGAATTTCTCCATTGGACCATGAATTTTCAAAATCAGGAACAGTTATTCAACCAGTACCATTAAATTTACCAAATAAAAATATTTCATATTTAAATCAGGTCATAGAAATAACACCAAGAGAATACTGTCTAGAGATGATTTTTTACATATTTATACGATCAGAGACAATATTGCTTAGTCCATTCCAAGTCTTTTGAGGTTAGATGCTGATGTCGACTGAGTCCCTCCGAGAATATAATATGGTTCGAAAATCATCAGTAGGCCAACTCCCACGTATGGATAGAAGGACTTGAATCACAAAAACAAAGTTTTAGACCATGCAGAATTGAAACGGGGTGCGCAATAAAACGAAATTTCCGACTCTTGACACCTGATTTATTTAACTTTGTGGATAAAACCAATCATATATACGTTGTGTAATAATATAAACCAGTATACATAGAGGATATTTTATGAGACTCATGTGGAGTGATAAAACAGGACCTTTTTGGCCAGGTGTGTGGGATCTTATTCCGGTGGAAAGACTGAAATAGACCTATACTTAAATATATTTTACAATATTCTTCTCCAATGTGTCATTTAGAAGAGCTGGACCCGTTTTCTTTTCAACTTTGTTTTGAATGTATATTTATAAAGCACTCTAAAATTATTGAATTCCATGTATGGAAGGTTATTTAATAGTAACAAACAAAGAAACTGCCTCTTTAACTTTAATTTTTGAAATAAGCAAAACGCAATTGTGTTGAAAATATACGATCGCATTGACCATGCATTTTTTAACTACCAATGAAAACCATGAATTCTGCATTCAGTTTTTCATCTCACTATGGTGGCAACCCTGTATTTGTAAATAGTAGTAATCCATTAAATCATTAGGTTAATGTTTTTTTATGAAAAGGTAATTTCGATATCTACAAAGTCACGAAATTGTCGAAAGACGTTAAACGCCTGACTATTCCTCCCGGCAAAATGACTGCGGGTGAGTTTAGTGGTCGTTGCGTATTCTTGATGTTTGATATGAACTTTGTTCTACACATGCACAACGTTTTCATTTAAATTGTGTTTGTTTATCTGTGAATCTTTTTTACCATGTAATATTTTACCAGTAACTTTGGATAAAGCAAGATAAGTTTTCAATCATGATGTAAAATCTTATAATAGTTGTTATGTAATTTATTCATGTTAGGTAATGTTTGATTGAGCTGGTGTCGATTATATTTTTCTCTGTGTTTCAGTGGCTTCTTTATTTATGAAGACGAACAGTTAACAAATTAATTGATTCAATTGGTGAAACAATTATTTGTAAAGTAAAAAAAGTAAACTTCAAATCTCACGAATGTATAAAATACCAAAGGGATCACTAATACATTAGGATGATTGAAATAGATGCGTTTGTAAAAGTGTGTATCCAACAATATTATTAGCCAGGACTACACTTCCTACTTACGTTATTGCCTACAGAGGACTCCACCCTTTCATTAATTATAACACCCCACCCCCCGGACATAAAATTGCAAATTATACAAATTGTTTTAAATTAGTGTTATCAATTGAATTTGTAAACAAATCTTGTCCAAAAATTTTAGTGTGAAGACCTTAAACTACTTTGCAAACAGTTTATACTATGCATTTTTTACCAATTTCAATATTTTTTGTGTTTGAACTTAAGTATTTAAAAATATACTTTCGAAATTAGTGGGAAGGCCTTAAACGATATTTCAAACGTGTAATACTAAGTATTTTACCAATTTGAATCAGCCTATTTATTTGTGTTTAACCGTAGATAAAAATAATTAAATATTCTATTTGTTTATGGTTTAACTTAATTATCATAGACGATCTAACATAAGTAGATTTCTAAAAAATAATTTACACAAACCTTTTGCTTAGTAGTATTTTCAATAAATAGCCCAATAGTAGTGTTTTCAATAAATAGCCCAAGGACTGTGTTTTCCAAAATATTTCCTTTTCAATATTTAACCAGCGACCTTGGGAAATAAATGCGATCACTGTATCTACTTGGTAGTCAGTTTGTTCTACGAGAACGATTGTGATATTGGCATTAAGCTTCATGTCTTTCTTTGATGTAGGTCTACAATAAAAATATGTCACCTCTTATTCAGTTTAGTAAATTCATAAATTTACATTTTTACACTACTTCTGAATTAGCCATTTTTTTACATCCAATAATATCTTTAAATCTTAGAATAAGGTAGAGAACAAACCGCCCTGTGTGGATACAGCAGAGTGAAGTAATTTGTTGATTACTTTTGATTACAGTTAATAATACTACTAATGTTTAATTAATATGCTTTTGCTGTCAAGTTATTCCTCGATGAAACTATTCTTGCGTGACATCTTATTTTACTTTATAGTGGAAAATAAGTTTTCTAAACAAATACAAGCGACGTAGAATGAAAATAATTTAATTTATACGCTTACCATTCAATTAAATCGTTAACTAATTCAATAACCAGTCTTTTTCGTGTAACAGGGTTGCACTGGGTGCATGTTATAAACTTAAATATCATAACACTATTCATTATTTGATTATCATTGTACCGATAGATTTGAATGAAAAACACAAAAATAGGACGCTTCACTAGTTACATAAAGGTGCACAACCTTATACCTGGGTGCTGAATGGACTTTACATTTTTTATAATTAAAAATAATTCTTCAATAGCTAACATTGGACATTGTTCAACAGTAACAAAACGTTGTTGTATGGATAATGGTGATAATTTTTATGAAAAGCTGTATGAAATAATGTAAAAGGTGCACCCCAACACTGAAGGAATACACTAAATTGGGTACTAGTCAGGAAATTTTACTTATTTGAAAATCAAACCCTGAAAATGTTGTCAAAATGTGTTTTTAAGAATCTTGTCAGTTGCCACTGTCTGCAGGTGTTACACAATACTACAATAGAGAGATCTGTACCAACATTTTGGCCCCTGAGGGGGGGGAGGGGTTCTGTTGTTTGATCTCTATCAAATATAGAAACTGTGTCAACCCACTTTTCTTTTCTCGATAATTTCCTTGTGACTTTCTTTATACAGAAGAGACCTCTGTCTCTATACATTTTTATGTATTGTTTTTTTTATAAACAAAGAGAGATAAAGATATGATTGATGAGAAATTTATTAATAATATATATTTGATTTATGATACAATTTCAATTTAGGTACTTAACAGTTTGATTAGAATTAAGTTTTGTAGTAAAACTTGTGGGGGACAATTAAAACTCACCCTGAATATATATATATAAACAATAATTACAACGTTCATAATACTTTATACATTTTAGAGAAATATAACGGGCAATGTTATATACAAATTTAATTTTGTTGTAAATAGTGTGACCATTCTGCTGAACCGATTTAGTAACAATATACATACCCAAAGCTTTGCCAAACCGATGTTAACTTTTCAAGTAAATCCTTATCTGTGGCGAGATTGCCCATTGTAGGAAATTCGATTCCATTGTACGATGGAAGCTTTACTTATAGAGAATTTCCTTAGAGGTTTTGGTCAAATCTACTCTCATTTACAGACATACAGGGTACAATGGACTAGCCTAAAATCATTACTCCTAGCAAAACTTTATAAAAAGGTGCTAATGATAATTCTTTGTGTAGTATTTGGCTACTTGACAATGGCTGTACTGAAAATCTAATGTACCAGAGAAACGCTAGTTATAAATTTTCATTTATTAATGCAGATGCGAGATTCCTTATGTTATCTACAGTCAACATAGTATTTACATGTCTGTTGTGTTGCAGGTGAATGGAGTGGTCCTCCATGGAAGGTGTCACTTGAATGCCTCAGCCATTATCAAGGGTCTGCCCGGCCCCACGTTCAAAGTCATAGTTCTAAGGTGAGTGTTGTCATTGAACCCAAAATCCAACAATAATTTGTCAACTTATGTTTAAATTGTTTTTGGTTTACTACAGGCTCTTTTATTTTTCAAGTAATTAGAAGTAGAAAAATCTGACAAGGCAATGTATGTGGTAAACCTAATGTGTCAATGACTTTTTTTGCAAAAAGAATTTTCTTGTTTGTGCTATTTCGAATCAAAGAACTCGAATGTTCTAAAGGAAAAGCTGTTGAAACCCCTCGTTTTTTGGATACACGGGAATCGAACACGTCCCTTTAACAACGAAGATTAACACGCTATTTTACACAATACCAATTATAAACTTTTGTTATGTATAAGACTGACCGAACTATTGACTGTTAGTCACTTGATATGTTTTGTACATTTTTAACCTTGTATTTGAAAAAGATACTAGGCCTACCTCTTTTTTAAGTCATAGAAAAGAAAACCTTGTTTAACCAACGTAAACAGACAGTTAGACTATTAAAATACGTTTTGAAGGACTACGGACTATTGCGTAGATGACAGTTTGCCCGGAGTCAGCCAACTTCGCTTTGATAGTGTAGGTGCCCTAGTGAGCTACCACCAATTTTGGATAATGCTTAGGTTTTTCATCAACACGATATTAGAGTTCTATTTAGCGGGTTTATGAGGTAATGAACCTAAGGGCTTGGTGAGTAAAAAAACTCTAATGCATACAACAAAGCGTTTATGTCCCTTGTAATGCATACAACAAAGCGTTTATGTCCCTTGGTAAAGAACCGAATCATAACCGATATAAACAGTTTTCTGTAGGTAACAAATTCAACATAACATAACCATTCATTGAAACCTGTAGTAACAAAAGATAAAAGGTCATATTTGAAGATGGAATTCTTAAATATACGTAGCATGACTGGTAAATATGTTAAAATGAGGGCCATGTCGTAAATAAAGAAATATAAAAGCTAAAGAATCCATGCGGTACTTACTTTTCAGTTGTTCTAGTTTAGACTTCTTTTAAGTGAATAATCTGGTTTAATCTCCTAAATTATTTATCATAGAAAGCACAGACAAAGTTTTTTGTCATCATGTATGAAGTAAAAATTAAACACTCAGATTTGAGAAATAAATATTTATGTTTTTTTTATTATGGTGATTAATTTAATTCACATGTTTCAGCTGATCGAATAACGTAATTAAACATTTCAAGTTTAAATTACTTGCAGAATGATATAATAGAGCGTTTTCATATAAAAAAATACTGAAAAAAGTGCTTTGTATATTTTCCCCAGGTAGTGAGTAAAAAGCTTTAAAATTGCACCTCATTTATGAAAATTGGTGAAGAAATGAGGAAGTTATGGTCTACCAACATAAAAGCACTTTAGAAATTATAATAACATTAGACGAGGTGTTAGCCCGTCCTACGTACGGGAGTAGTCAGTTAAAACGGTGTAGGCCTATAATTCAGAACAGCTAGTTTACACGTATAAAGACAAATTTTATTGCAGCCTACAGTAGAAAGAGTAATTATCAATTGAGAAGTGTATAGGCCTAGTCAATGATATCACCTTCCATAGCACACCTACCTCTTCCATAATCAATATCACCACACAGTACAATTACTCATACTATACACAATTTCCAGTAGGTCTGAATTGAAACTCACTAAAATAAAACGAAAACATCCAATAAAATTCACAGTACACATAATTATAACGTTGGTGTCCTGACATCATTAAACGAATTGTGCACACACATCCTTTATGTCAATTTCACTGCATCAATTGCTAAATAAATAAGTGTAAACAAAGAAAAGTAAACACAACAACATATTAGTTTGTTTTGTAAACAGCTGAGTCAAAAATAATATTCATTTGAACAAAAGAACTGGTCACATGTTGAAGGAATTTAAAAAGTAAAAACCCTAGTAAAGCTAGTGACGTAATTAATTGTCTATGTTTATTATCCATTCCGTTATCAGTTCCAATATCCTTGATAATTAAACCACCTTCATTGAATCAATGTACATCGTAATTCCCCATATTCATTTATTTAAACTATAAAATATTCAGCGCCTCCAAACATAACCACAACTAAACACACGCCAAACAACTTTTTTAGATTTCATAAAAGGATGGTTAGTCTAATTGCAGTATCCTAGGTCAATGTTGACGTTGTGTTCAATCTATGTCATCCATCGTTTATCTTTGTATAAACCCCGGCTGAGGTTGTGGTGGTAATTTAAAATCGTGATTCCTGATTATTCTTGATCTTCTTTTTATGACATCAATATTTCCGGGCCTAATCCAAACAAAGTTAATGCAGACAAACATTAATTGTAAACAAAAAGCTACCATGAAGAATTAAAACATGTTAACATTGTTATTTTTCTAATCTTTCCTTGAAAAATGGAGCAGTAAAATAATTTGCATTTATCCTTTTTTATTAAGACTCGTGTACAGAGCCTCGATTTGTACTGTGGTTTAATTAATTTTGGTTAAAACTGTGGTCTAATTATCTCTACTAATCTTACTTATTTCCTATTATCAATGACAAAATAAGAGTAAATAAAATAACCTCATAGTTCCATAGTTTATATTTAACCAGCTGTTAGTTAAAACAAATTATATTGCTCTAAACAAATCGAAGATTACAAAGATTGCTTTAAAAAATTATTTGAACATCCTAGTATTTTACTATGTATATTTAATTAATCTGCCATCCTCTTACAGAAGAATTGAACGTTTCAATGATTAGCATTACACATAGTATAAATAAGTCAACCCTAAGTATGTCTTTACATTTTTATCCAAATGCTGAATTTGTGACACAAAAGCTGAATGTTTACAGCTGTTGTGTTAAACAAATTATTTTATGCCAAAAGCTAGTTTAGAATCTTAGCGTCGGCTGCTAGACTTTTTAAAAATTAAAACTTAATTAATAAAAAACTGGGACCCTAAATTAAAATTATGGCTTCGACATTCCCTCGTTTTCAAAATTATCTTTCTTTCAACACAAAAATCATGAAAATCCGTCGAGTGGTTGATTCAGAATCGTGAAATAAAAAAACACTGTTTCGTTTTAATATTATAGATTCTACGATTGTACCTTGTGAACGAAATGTGACTCTTGTTTTGATAATGTGTTAACGAAGGCGTAAGAACAGCTGATCGCGTTAATATGCCTTTGCGTACATCAGTAAACTTGGAACACCTTGTTAACTCTGCCACCTTGATTATTTCGAGAAACATTTAATACTTTTTACATTATTTCTTAAAAATGTGATTCGTAAAAATTACTGTTATGCTTATTAATTACTATATTACTTATCATGTTTAAAACGTTAAACAAATTAATTATTTTTAAATTAAAATTTAGAAAATTATTTTTGATGTCTTTGTAAAGAAGAATTTTTGTACCCATGAAATCATACTTAATGACCCCTTGCCTGCCGTTCTTGTACATGTAAATTCAGCTTTTAGAATTATCAACTCCCCCCCCCAGGCTCATCAAAGCCCCCCTCCCTCCTTTGGATGAAAAGCTTCTTTGTATATTCTGATAAAGACTCAACCCACCAACTTTTTGGTTTCCTATAGTTAAATGTCTTATATCTTGCAACAATTACATTATCGTCATATAGCTTCTACAGTTATTACTGTATTCAAGTATTGGACGATATAAGATTGAAATTGAGCGTAGATAGAAGCCTGAAAAGGTATTATAGAATACAATTGGTTGGTATTATGCAAGTCATATTCTAATCCGAATTTGATCACTTTGGAATCAAAATGAACTTGGAATTATCATTTGATATTATCCTCAAAATTAATATAGATATTAGTTGGATGTTTTGAGTGTGGTTTTGTACAAGTTATGAACTCCCAGCCGTTTAACAATTTTCAAGTATTGCCAATTGATTATAGGATTTCACAAATTGTATTCCATGACAAAACTAAATAAAAATTATTTATCTTTACAAAATACTCTAGTCAATTTGTTCCACTGCCAATCAGATTTTAAAGTTCAAACAAAGAAACTGTTCAAGCAATCTTATTTTCTATGGTTCTGTCGACATCAATCGAATATATCGAATGAGACAGAAAACTTCCGAGCATAGAAATATTTCCTTAAGTGTTATGGCTATCAGGTGGGCGACTTTTTAGGGTTGTTAACTAATACAATAATGACATATTATAACATTGATAATACCATAAACATGAATAATACGAACAAAGTTTTCGTATTTCACCGTATTACTAACCATGCAATGTATGCATTTCTCTGTTCTATGTTTCTAAAGTAATAATTTTAATATAATTCCTTGTATATAATAGGAAAAAGTTCTAAATTTCCTTTTAGAAGCCAGGTTTTTCATCCGCACAGCTACACTAGTTCACTTACACGTGCAAAATTTCACAATCTACTCTAATTCAAAACACATTCTTGACAAAAACAAATTATTAGAAAGTGAATGGTTGCAAGATGATAAACGCATAGTTCCGCTACGCAGAGATATTTCCAAGTAGATCATTATAATATGCTGGCTGAGAGGGTTTCAATAGAGCTGTGACAACCAAGAGGCCCATCTGATGCCAGAAAATAACTTGACGAAAGTCACTTATGGATGATGAGTTAAAAAACACAATCTTGACGAAGTTCATTTTCGCAAAGTGTATATTGTCGAAAATAATAAATTGTTCTTATTTTCTATTAGTGATCGGTCAAACATAGGTTTCACATTTCGATGATCATCAATCTCAAGCCTTCATCAGATGGAAAGAACAAAACAAGATTAGTACCAACAGAAACATATGGCTGAACATATTAACTAGTTATAGAAACAAAGGGTAGAACGCACTATGTAACAATTTTCCCACAAATAAGAGACAATTAATCAACACTGAAGCACTTAAGTGTTAGACATGAAACTCAATTAGAAACGAGCTTCGCGTATATTTTACAATAAGTGAAATCTACTCGCTGTTATCCATATCATTATTGATTGATGTTTTACTTTC